AGATGTAATTACAGGAATGTATTTTTAAATGAAAGTACAATGTAAATACATGTACACAATAAGTGCACTGTATTAAATTACTAATTTAAATATAAGTACATAGCAATTAAAGACTAGTTAAATACAATAGTAAAGCAAAAACAACATCTCTCTGGAGAATGTTTTTCATCACGAGCACAGATCAGGCAACACTGAGAGATAAATAGCAGAAGTAGGAATTTAATAAAGCAGCAGAAAGCTGTTCACACCCCCACAGGAAACTACAGACATAATAAATGAGTCAGTGTGAGCTGACAGAAACAGAGAGTACAACGCCTCAGATACAAGAACAAGAATATAAAAAAATATATATATATAAAAAAAATGTAAAAAAATCAAAACTGTTTCAAAGGTGATGTGCTTCCCAAGCGAGAGGCTGGAGTGATGTAGATGGTGAGAAACAGAGTTTATCTGCTTTGAGTTGAGAGCACATGTTGATGAGCTGATGTGTGTTCCTCTCAGAGAGCACTTCATTTACAAGGTAGGATACTCTTTTAATAATCTTTTCATTGGGTGCAGGTTTAATAGAATTTAAAGACTAGTCTTAATCACAACGTTAAATAGTTTTACTACTGTTACTACTACTACTGCGTCTAACAAGATTAGTTTGAATCAAATGATTGAGTTGATTGAGCCAAATGTGTGACGATGTTTGGAGCGAACAGGCTGACATAAAGCATGACTCAAGTCTCAAATGGCCAGGGCTGTGCTTAGATTCTGGGGTAAACGCTTCGAAACAGACTCTCAGCTGTTACGTCACAATCAACAGAGTCCAGGAAATTCTTCTTTTTAGCAGCAATTCCACAGTGAATATTTCCCCTCAATGTAACTTCTACACTGTTAACCTTTATGTCCCTTTAAATGGAAAGTTATTTACAAGACAGTTTATAACAATATGATTTTAATCAGTCACTTACCTTTCTTAGATCCAAAGTGTATACAAAAAATAACCCTCTGGGGTCTGAGGGTGTTTTGGGGCATATTCATCATACACGTCGTACTAATCAGCAGTTCTAGATATACCTTTCATATTATGTATAACCTATTTTTTATCTTACTCATTAATCTAATCATAATATCGGTGTATCTAGATTTTACAAATCAAAATAATTTGGTTATGTGTGTTTGTAGGATTTCAACATGTAACGACTCGTACAGTCTGAAAAGAACTGCATGAATAATAAACGCAGGCAGGTGGGATGATATGTTACTGATACAGTGCACACGTATGAATATGGAAAGTCCCATAGAGAGAAAAATGACACGGTCTCATCGTGAACCGTACACAACACCCACAAACTGACACACAGTATCCGAACCATTGAGGAAAACGGGCTGAACTGTGGGACCGAAGGGGTCTCAGATAGTGTGTGAGAGAGAGAGAGGTGAAGAAGACAAGCATGCAAAGCTGCCACGAATACACACACCTCACATTGTGCATCAGTCGGGCAGAAATGCAAATGCTGTGTTCAGAATGTACTGATAGTTTTCCTGTGGGATGAAAACATTCTTAAAATTATGAACAAACGTAAGCGCCGTCATCCACGAACTGGACACATGTTGTAAACGTATCTGTCCACAGGCAAACTCCTCTCGTCTTGTGTCTGCCAAATTCAGAATGAAATGAATGTGCAGCGACGTGTTTGTGAACACTTTAGAATACTGATCCATCATTAATGAATAACTACACTGGAACAAATGACTAATGCACTATTAAAGGGTTAGTTCAGCCAAAAATGAAAATTAGCCCATGATTTACTCACGCCCAAAGCATCCTAGCTGTATATGACTTTCTTCTTTCAGACGAATACAACTGGAGTTATATTAAAAATTGTCCTTGCTCTTCCAAGCTCTATAATGGCATGGGCGGGGGCTTTTGTTCAACAGTCCTAAGCAGTCAAATAAAGCACGTGCCTCACACAGATCTGAGGGGTTAATATAGGCCTCCTGTAGAGAATCCATGCGTTTTTGTAAGAAAAATATCCATATTTAAAATGTTATAAATACTTTTCTCTTCTTCTTTTTTTTTTTCATTTTTTGGGTGAACGAACCCTTTAACATTTTAGTAACTACTATGAAATAACAAGAAACCCTGATTAACGAATCAGTAAGTAATAGTGCTCAGTAGACCCACTGTGTTTTCTGCATTTGTTGGAAAGAATATGAATAAAGTGTGTGGGCATCAGTTATCGTGCCTTCAGTTATTGAGGCCACTAAATGTTTAGCATTCATTTGAAACAAAATCTATGGTTTATATGCAGAGAATAATTGTTGTTGAATTATTATACTACACACCTGAGGTGATGATGTGCTCATGAGGGAAATGTATATAGCTTATATCTACATGAGTATTCACTGAACAGTACCAGATGCTCTTGTGAAGTGGAGAAGTCAAAGTAATCAGAAAGTAGAACTGAAAAAAAAAACTGTTTAAGCATGTTGGTGAAATAAACAGTATTATATATATTTTCAGTTCTACTTTCTGATAACTGCTGCTGGTATTGCTCATAACGCTTTAGTATAAGGACCAATTCTCACTATTAACTAATTGCTTATTATTAACATATTGGCTGTTTATTAGTGCTTGTGAAGCACTTATTCTGCATGAACATATTCTATATCCCTAATCCTGCCCAGTACCTAAACTTAATAACTACCGCACTAACTAGTAATAAACAGCCAGTAGAACAACCCTACAACACTTTTACATGGTTATTTAAAACGAATTGCACGTCTTCTCCATATGAATCACTGTAAAATGTAATCTTTAATTAGAATTTTAACAACTGCATATGTAATACATTCTATGTTTCTTAACAAATGAGAATGAGAATCAGCTTTATTAAGTGTGCAACAGTGCACATATAGTCTACACTGTAAAAAAAATTCTGTACAATTTACAATAAAAAACCGGAAGCTGTGGAAAAAACTAAGAAACATAGTTATTTCAACAAAAAAAACATCAAATTTGAACTGTAGCGCAGGGAATTCTGGGAATGTCAATTTACGGTTATTCCCTGTAAATTATACGGTCTTTTTCACTTCCAAAAACGGTATACTACCGTAAAATTAATGTCCAATACATGTCCAATACAGTTTATCACCGTATATAGTAGGGGAGTTTACCGTTAACCATTTAACAGGTTTTTACTGTAGCATTTTTACAGTCTTTTACCGTTAAATTCACGGTAATTTTTTACAGTGTACTGTACATCTAGAACCACACACATAGAACAGTTTCAGCACAGAAGATATTATGTTATTAATTATGTATGTGTTCATATTTGATTTGTTAATTATAAACTTCATCATCACTTGATAAAGTATTACAAAAAATAAATGTTGTTTGTTTGTTTGAAGTCCTTCACTGATCTTCTGACTTCAAGAATCAGCTACCTGTATACTGCACTGAATTTTCACTCCTGATATTCCTGGTTATATTTTATTTATCAGTTTTGCATAATACTACTACTACTACTATTAATAATAATAATAATAATAATAATAATACATAGTTTTTATTACTTGCTTTGGTGTAATTTTCACAGGCAAGTTGTGTTTTCTCAAAACTCTTAGTTCTAATCTCACAACAGATTGTCAACAATTCACTGTTTTCAAACATTTCAGGATGTTTTCAATGTCATTAGTACAAAACACAAAAAGTGCCTTTCACAGCACAAAACAAGTGTTTCAGCCTATATAAATTGTGTGCGAGTGCGTGTGGTGTGTGTGTGTGTGAGTGTTTGTGTGTGTGTTTGAGCGTGTGTGTGTGTGTGTGAGTGAGTCTGTGTGTGTGTGTGTGTGTTCACTTGGATGGGTGAAATGCAGAGCACACAATCTGAGTATGGGACACTGTACTGTGTCACGTCACTTTCACTTCACTTTTGATAACACACTGGATTGATACTAAATACAAACTTAATGGATTTTATGTCAGTTATGTAAGTTAGGTAATGTAAGAGTGTTTTCTATAGTGGCAACTGTAGCCTACACAAACAATGATTATGTGGACTGAAAATATGCTTAACTGTAATGAAAGCACGAAATTAGGTTTTAAAACATGGACTAGCAGCATTACTACTGTGAGCAGTTTGGAGTTTTGAAAATGTATCTCTAATTTGAAAACTGCACCAAAACGGAGGAAAAAAAACACTAATAGTCTCAAAATACAATTGGCTCAAAATAGGATGGACTCAGAAAAGATGCGATTGAATGCAAGCATGTCACCTGCTGCATAAATGCACATCTTACTGCATGCACAAATATGCCTCTGTTTGTACAAAATGCTTCACGTTCATTTACTTCTGACTTTTGCAGACACAAGTTGTAGTTAAGTATAGCAGTGTTCAGTTGTGAATTTTTCAAATTGATGAGTAGATATACACACATTAATGAACTTATATCTATAGCACTTATACATTCGTAGCTAGATGTGGGTTTCGAAATTCTGAAAGCCGTGTTAAGAAAGTCTTAAAATCCAAATAAATCAAAAAGGATGGACTCAGAAAAGACATCGATGAATACATGTCACGTGATCCACAAATGTCTTGTTGCATGCATACATTATGATACACACATAAAAATGAAAACATTTGAATTTACAAACATGTCTCCATTTGTACAATTCTATTCATCTTCATTCAGTTTGGAATTTTGTAGATTAAGGAAATGTGCTGTGTGTGATCAGATGCATTTGCAACATTTGTTCAGGGATAATTGTAGACGAGGCTAAAGAGCCTCAGAGTATGGGTCATGCATCGAGACTAATGTCATCCCATATTTCCCTTCTTCTGTTAGAATGCTTGATAGTGTCTAACTAGAGCATCTCTGCTGTCTTTCAGAACCGGAAACGCTGAACTACAGCTCTCGAGTGCGTCGCATGTGGAAGTAACAATGTCAGGAGGCTATCTCTGGGACTTTCTCAAGGATCTTTCAAATAACCCGATTTTGAGTAGCTATTTTTGTGTTTCCTAAACGCTGAGAGGTGACAACGTGTGCCATCCCAAATCCACAGTGCTATGCCAAGCTGAAGCTTTGCAGAGTTAGCCGGAGGACTCTCGAGTTACACGGGAGGAAGATGAATGCTTGCAATAACACTACTGAGCACCAAGAAACCTCAATACAAGAATATCAGCATCAGATCTACGCCGTCTTCTACACTGTGATTCTCGTTCCTGGACTGATCGGCAATGTCCTCGCGCTCTGGGTTTTTTACGGCTACATAAAGGAGACAAAGAAGGCTGTGATATTCATGATCAACCTGGCCATCGCCGATCTGCTGCAGGTGCTATCACTACCTCTGCGCATTTACTACTATTTGAACAACTCATGGCCTTTCGGTGATGCCGCCTGCCTGCTCTGTTTCTATCTGAAATACGTCAATATGTACGCCAGCATCTACTTCCTGGCTTGCATCAGTGTGAGACGCTGCCGCCTCATTATCCAGCCGCTGCACTGCGGCGCCACCAAGAGACGGAGGGAGCGTGGCTTGTGTTTAATCGGGTGGCTCATCGTGTGTCTGGGGTGCCTTCCCTTCCCTCTTCTGCGAAAACCCAACACCAACTCAGCCCATCCCACACGCTGCTTCTCCGAGCTGCCCATGACGCCGCTCAGCAAAGTGCTAGGAGTGTCCCTGGTGACATTCGCGGAGATGGTGGGCTTTCTGCTGCCGCTGGGTATCGTGGTGACCTGCTCGTGGCTGACGGCGGCGAGTCTGCGGCAGAAGACCTGCGTGCTGCAGGACACCGGGGAAAAGCACAAGGCGCTCAAGATGGTGCTGAGCTGCGCTGGTGTGTTCCTGGTGTGTTTCGTGCCCTACCACATCACCTTCCCTTTAGACTTCTTGGCCAAATCAAACTACGATGTCAGCTCTGCTTTTAAGAACGCCGTGCTGCACATTCATCCGGTCACCTTGTGTCTAGCGAGTCTGAACTGCTGTCTGGACCCAGTCATGTACTACTTCACCACTGATGAGTTCAAGCGGCGTCTGTCCAGGCCAGAGTTTCACGAAAGTTTGCCGTTACAGCACAGAACTTCTTTCTCCACAAATGCTAGTCTAAACCAGACAGATGAAGCACGGGGACGTTGTTTTAAGCCACACAAAAGAGCTTTCTGTATGTACAATTGATGTACTCCGAACATTTTTCTTGAGAACTTCATGAGATCTTCATTCTGCTCTTGAAGATCCGGGAACGGGCAAAAAGGCATTTATTTAACCCCAAAACAGGAATATCGTGAAATATTATATTTCTAATTTTCTACTTGAATATATATATATATTAAAATGTAATTTATTTCTGTGATGCACAGCTGTATTTTCAGCATCATTACACCAGTCTTCAGTGTCACATGATCTTCAGAAATCATAATAATATGCTGATTTGCTACTTATTGCTCAAGAAATATTTCAGATTATTACCATGGCTTTGTGCTTCCTATGTTTTTGTGGCAATCATGTGTGTTTTTTCTATAATGGAAGGAAGTGGAGATACGTCGTCCATCGTTTTTTTAGTCTATAGTGGAAACTGTGATACATTATTCAAGCACTCTTTGATGAACAGAAATTTCAAAAGAACAGCATTTATTTTAAATAGATTTGTGTGTGTTTGTAGCTAAGTCTTTACTATTACTTTTGATACATTTAATGCAATAAAATGTTCTATTGTTAAAAAAACTAATGCAGAAAGAGAGTTTAAGAGTTTACTGTTTTTATGCTTGCTTCAGACAGACCTCATTTCCTATGGCATGCAAGTTTATTCAAATGGACTTCAACACAGTTGTATACATTCAAACAGCTTGCTCCAGGCTGAATCAGCCAAATACAGTACTGGAAAATATTTTGCATATTATACAGCCGCTAGTTTCGATCCTCGATTTTGAGGCCAAGCTTGTGTGTGTTCAGCATTCTGAGTTTTAAATGAAAATGCAGTAGACATGAGCTGTAACACCAGTGAAATACATCTGAACTGGCTTTAGTTGTGCATTATTAGTGCTTGAATTAGTGCTCATGTGGACCAATGAAAGCTGGTGCTCCAAAAAGCAAGACCTCTGGCAGTAAAGCTTCATAGCTACATATGAGATTACCTAACTCCTACTTCCCTCTACAACCAGGGTAGAAACACACACAAACACACACACCCCTGTTCCTTGTACAAACAAGTGCATTGGTACATTGTCTGGTTTAGGCCCATCGTGTTCTTCACATTCTGTGGGGTGGTCAGTTCACAGCATATAGAAATGAACAGAGGTGGAACAAATGCATTCACACTGCAATTACAATCACAGAAATAATGCCAGGACATGTTTTAAAAATAAAATGAATATGAAATGAAATGCATGTTAAAATATAAAATTATTTTAAAATATGAACTTTTTAAATATGAACTAAAACTGCCAGCAAGTCACTGGCTTAATGAGTGAGACAGCAAGTTGATTCAATCAGTAATGAAACAAGTAACTGTCTTCATGGATGGATCATTGATCATTGGAGCAAAAACAGACAATATTTTGTCTAAAATGGAACTCGCAAAACTCCTTATTTATTAAACTGATGTATACAATCAGTACTACATTTGCTCATGTGATGTTGCTGAATTAGATCATAATCATCTTTAAAGTTGTTCAAATGAAGTTCTTAGCAATGCATATTACTAATCAAACATTAGGTTTTTATATATTCACAGTATGAAATTTATAAAATATCTTGATCTTTGATCAAGATATGATCTTTACTTAATATCCTAATGATTTTTGGCATAAAAGAGAAATGTATAATTTTGACCCATACAATGTATTGTTGGCTATTGCTACAAATATCCCCCAGCGACTTAACACTGCTTTTGTGCTCCAGGCTCACAAAAAGAAAAAGAAAAAAGAAAAAAAAAAGAAAGAAACAGCAAATGTTTTTTTGTTTTCCTCTCTCTCTCTGTATGTTTTATGATTCATGTACAAGTCATGTACAAATGTGTTAATCACAAATTAAGACAAAATTCAAAAATCATCAGGCTAGCTCATTTCACTGACAATGTTTCATTTGAGTGACAATATTTAAAGTTATTCCTCCAACCCATTTATTCATGACATACACTTGTCTCTTGTCCTTCCAGTCTGTTCATATGAAAGAGATAAGCAAAAAGCTAACAGCAAGGCATAATGCTCAGAGTGGACTCTATGAACGAACGCTGCTTACGTATTTCTGCTAGAATCTCCACAAGTGACTCACTATAGCAAAAAGTACTATAGTGTACTACTGTACATATTTGTGCTGTCAAATGATTACATTTTTAATCGGATTAATCACACACTTTTCTGTGATTAATCACACACTTATTATGAAATTAAGCATATACCATTTATCTTTTTTAAACAAGTCAATTTCGTCACAATTTGCTACATCCAGCAAAGTAAACCACCAGACCAGACTGAAGGGTGATTCTTACAAAACTGTATTTTCTGCAAGCTTATTTCAAGATAAATTTAGATGTCTTTCCAAAAAAAAAGGAAACTTGGAGACTACAAAAGGACACCAAATAATCAAATGGTAAGAGTAGTTCATAAATTTGATACATTTATGCACATCAAAGCACTCATGGGAAAATACTGAAACTTTTCAGAATTGTATAGTATGTGTACAGTAGACAAGTAAAGTTGTAATACCGAACAGGACCACATGGAGACGCAAAAAAAACACCAACCGTCTTGAGCTGGCTGCATATTCCTACTACATTACACAGATCCATTCAGAATGATTAAACACAGTAACATTCACATGACAAATCAAAACATTGTGTGGAAACAAGAATGCACAGAAATGTGTCTGTGCATGAATACAATGTGTGATCTCATACACGGTTTGTTTGCGCATCAATATATCAGACTCACATGTGTTTACTGTACGACTCCTGTACGTGACCGCATCGTCTTTACCTTTATTGCAATCCGCAACCATCAAACCTTTACTAGAGAGAAGCTGGTTTGCTTTATCCAGCCGAGAAAACGTATGTTGCTTATCATACAGCGGAGGGATGTTTTGACGTTTCGTTCAGTCTATATTTCACACAGTGCGACACGTGAGGGAAACAATCACAGAATATGACAGAGCTCGTGTTTTAAAGGGCAACTAATACGCAAAATGTACTTTTACATGTTGTTTGAACGTAAATGTGTTTTGGCAGTGTGTGTACACAACCACCCTATAATGATTAAAATTCACCTGCTCCTTTTTTTTAATCCCCATAAATAATAAGCAGTGTCTCAGAACAAGCCGATCACAGAATCCGTAAACTGTGATGTCCATTTTACAAGCCCCGCCCACGACTGTTTACTGCCGTATTAGCAGAGACCCCGCACTGAGCGAGCCGCACACAATCCGCCACGTTTATCTTCACGCTAGAGCATTTGAAAGCAGCATTCAAGTAAGAAATGTCTTCTTATTAAAGCTATAGACGTTATTCAGCCCAGAGCAGTCAGTGATTTTCTGCTTTTCTTTTATTGTTTGGGTCATATTATCAGCGTAGACAGCAGTATAGGTACTGTATATTATGCTGATGTCACTTAATACACAGATCTAATATAGCTTACAGTGAAAATTACAATACAATACAATTTTATTTATTTAGCACAATTTAAAAACAACTAAGGACGTTTCTTCCTCTGGTGATATTCACAATCCCGTAAGCAACGTATTTCCAATTGCAACATAGACAGGAACGGGGGATCAGGAATCTTGTACCCTCCGTGACTTGAATCAGAAACCGTTTCTACGGTCCTTCGTAGATCAAGAAGAAACAAGCAATCATAAGCAAGCACTGTGGTAACTTTTTGTGCAGATGTGCACACAGGCAAGACAAATATACTCAGCAAAGAGAACACCAAGCGACGGCTTGCCAAACACCACACTGGCGCCATCTTGCCTGTGTGACTACGGGACTCCTGAATATCTGCTTATCAACTTTGAGGTTATTATCAAACCAAACACCCAAGTTTCTGACACATGTGGTACTGTACGGTGACAGAGATGTAGTTTCGAAATTGTGTACACATTGTTCATTGGGACCAAACACAATGAATTCAGTTTTACTCTCATTGAGGCACAAAAAATTTGTTGCAAGCAAAAGTTTTAGTTCATCCAAACAATCCAATATTGGCTTAATGGCATGCTTATTACCACGCTAGTGAATATAAAAGGGAATATGAATTTGGGTGTCATCTGCATATAGGTGGAAAGAGACCCCATATTTGTTAAAGATAAACCATAGAGGACACATATAAAGGGAGAACAGTACTACACCAAGAATCGATCCCTGAGGTACACCAGATCTTAAGTGTATCTCAGAGGAATGATGCCCAATATTGACAAATACCTCCTATCAGTAAGATATGACCTAAACCACTGTAATACTGTGCCCCGTAAACCAACACATGCCTCAAGAATAGATATAAGAATATCATGGTTGACCAGATCAAAGGCAGGGCTAAGGTCTAACAGAACCAGAGCCATACACTGGCCAGAATCCCTAATCAACATGATATCATTTAAAACTCTAAAGAGGGCTGACTCCGTGCTGTGGCAAGATTTAAAACCAGACTGAAATTTTTCATAAATAGAATTGTGAGACAAATAAGATTGAAGTTGATTTAAAACACCTTTCTCTAGAATTTTAGATTAAAAAGGCAAATTTGAAATGGGACGAAAATTAGTCAACAATGTGGAGTCCAGGTTGTTTTTGTTTTTTTAAAGATGTAGTCGCACTGTGGCAAGTTTGAAGTCATGAGGAACAGTCCCAGTTTGAAGACATGTACTAATAACAGACAACAAGTCAGGGCCACATTGTGGGTTTCAGGCTAGACATAGTCTTGATCAAGGTGTTCAGGTTAACAGACTAAGTGGAACCAGAGTATGGAACACCAACCAATTCATATGACGATATTGACATTGTAGACGTGATTTGAGAAATCTTATCATTAAAATAATTAGCGAAATTCTCACACAGAGTGACAGATGCCTCAGGAAAAAGGTTGAAATTTGGATGAAGAGCAGACTCAATGGTAGAAAATAAAATATGTGGCTTATGGCTGTTTTGTATAATTAACTCTGAAAAATATCTACACTTTGCAGCCTTAGCAGCTCGCTGAAATGCAGAGAGAGTCCCGTAACATTTCATATGAAACTTGTAGTTTGTCTTTTTTCCACTTACGTTCTGCCCTTCTACAAAT